GTAGATGACGGATGAGAGGGAGGGAGAACTTTGAAGAACATCGGAGAAAGAAACGTGATATTATCAGAAAAAGATACACAAAACACAAGAGAGCGAAGCATAGTGAGAGACTGAGAATGTTCGAAAGATATTTAAAGGTAAATCGCTGGTGTCATTCATTCCGATTTACGTGCATCTTAGAAACGTGACAATTCCGAGCTGCAAGGACATGAGTTCATCAGGTCCAGTTCCTTCTGTCCTGGGTTGAATAGGGTCCCCCCCAAATTCACGTCTACCTGGACCCCCAGAATGTGCGCTTATTTAAAAAAAAAAAGTCTTTGCAGATGTCATTAGTTAAGGTGGACCCTAAATCCGATGGCTGGCATCTTCATGAGGCTGCCATGTGAAAACACAGGCACACATACATATGGAAGGTCATGTGACAACAGAGGCGGGGGTGGGGGGTGCAGTGATGCTGTACAAGCCAAGGGACCCTAAGGATTGACAGCAACCACCAGAAGCTGGAAGAAGCAAGGATGGATTCTTCCCTAGAGACTTTGAAGGGACCACGGCAGAGCCAACACCTTGATTTTGGATTTCTGACCTCCGGAAGCTGTGGGAGAATAAACTTCAGTTGTTTTAAGTCTGGTGATTTGCTGTGGCAGTCCCAAGAAATGAACACACCTTCGTTGTGCAGGAGAACCTTAGGATGTATGACATCTCCATAGTCACAGAATCACCTGCTAGCCAATCTCCTAATTTAACTGCCTTTTACTTTCCTTTAAGACTTTTATTTGCTTTCCAGCATCCTTCATCTTCTGTGGACATGGGAACCAATTTTCTCTTCTATTGTCAAAGTTCATTTTGAAAGAAAGATTAATTTTCCATTGCACTATGAAATCTCAATAAAGGGACAATTCAGGCGTTCGAAATACTTCGAACTATGACATTTTTCAATAAATTAACTGCCTGTTTTTTTTAGTATTCCAAAACAGTTGAATACTTATTACTTGTGAGAGATGAGGGCTCTTTTAAACACTGAAATCACCATTTATTTTTTTCTTCTGAGCAATTTTTTGAAGGCAAGCCAAGTCCTGCTGGGGGTATTGGAGTCTTTGATATGAAATGGGTTAGCCACACTTTTGGGGTTTTCAGCTGACATCAGATCATATGGCACATACATGAAGTTTTCAAAATTAATTTGTAGTTCTTAACCCTTTTTTGGATCATGTCTCTGAGACACTGATAACAGCTATGGACTCTCTCCCAGAAAACTGTGTACTCTCATTTCTTGCACCTAGTCTCAGGGGGTTCACAAACACTATGCCCTCTCCCCAACCCCCATCCTGTGGACCCCAGCTGTGGAGACTTTACATTGTGAGGAAAAAAGGGTTTCTATGGAAAGTAACCTCACAGGGCAATCTGATCATAAATTCCTAACTCAGTTGGGCAGGTCATGGTGGGTAGTCATACCCCAGGCATATAACTTTTGTAGTAAAAGGTCTATCTTTGCCTTAAGCAAGCCCTGTCCATTGTTTTTGAGCATCTAGGTTATCACACCTTTGAACTTCTAGGTAACCACCCTCAAGAGAGCACATGACCTTGTTAACCATCCTATAATCCAATCCCTGCATTGCTTTCTCCCACCTTCATGTAATCTTCCTTACTTTTCCTCCTTAATTTCAAATGCATAAAAAAAAAAGCTGCAAAACTGTTATTCTCTGGAGCATTTGAGATCTTGTTCCCCGACACATGTCATCAGTTTGGCTCAAATAGACTCTTACAAAAATTCTCCACAAATAGCCTGGTGGGCAGACATCTCTCTCCAGTTCACCTTTTCGCTTGAGCCGCATGGGGTAAGCAAGGGCCAAAACCGGCCTATGGCAGAGGTTTTCTCTCCATGCCAATCACACTGGTGGAGTCTTAAAAACAGCCGTTCTCAGGAGCTGAGTTCTTGCTGAGTGACTTTTGGAGACCCTCTCCTAAGACGCTTAAAGACTACCGAGTCAAGTCAATGGGAGTCTGGCAGAATTTCCTGGGGGACCACAGTGGCTTTTTGAAGAGGACTAATTGAATCCTAGGGCTGGAAGGGACCTATCAGCTGTCTTCCTGCTATTTCTCTAGGACGCCATCCTCTCCCTGGCCTCACGGCCTTGGCACGAGTACCCATTTTGTCGGCCATGTTCCCCACCCCACTTTTTCCACCTGGTACCCTCTACCTGCCTCCAGGTCTTTGGTTAGGCCCAGCTTCCTCTTCAACACTTTCCCTGGTTCCCCAAAGTCTGTCAGGAGCCCCTTCCTTGTACCCCCATTTGCTTTGAATTTCTCTATCACAGCTGTTGTCCTACGATTTGTACGTGGCTCTCTACTCATCTGCTTCTCTACTGGATTGCATGTTGCAGGGGAGCAGGGGCCACGTGATTTTTATAATCTCATTACCAACAATGTCAGGAAACAGCATGATGGATACAAGCCCGTTAGGCAGAACGATTCCTGATACTTACTGCGACTGATGCTGTCTTATGAAGCAAGCTGACTACCCCTTCGTCCTGGGAGGGGTGAGCCCGTATCACTCGAAGGGAATACTCCTGCAGAGGTGAGTGGGCCCATTACATTGATTACTGCTTTGGATTTTACAGCTCTTAACGAGAACGTGCATGCCCCTTGGCTGCCCCATCGCTTTTGGGAGTGCGGAGATTTATTGTCTTGTTGGCACCCAAGGTGTTGCTTCTGTCTCTAAGTCCCCTTAATAAACTCGCGATATGATTCTGGAGTTGTTGGCTTCTTTTTTTGGTCTCTTGGCCCTAAGAAATCTTCCCCACAAAGCTCATTGAGTAAACGAATAACTGGCTGGTTCAATGCAGGGTTTCTCAACCTTGGAACTATTTGCCCTTTGGACTTGATCGTTTTTGTTATGGGAAGCTGTCCTGTGCATTGTAGGACATTTAAACAGCATCCCTGGCTTCTACCCACCAGATGCCAATAGCACCCCCATTCAGGTGTGACAACTAAAACTGCCCAGTGACCCCTGAGAGACAAAATCACCCTGGTAGAAAATGATTGTCTTAATGAATGGATGTTGACCTCAGAGTCACCTCGCCCATCTTGAGTCTATGTCAGGGAGGGAGAGTTCAGTTGATCAGTTAATGCTGATGGAGCAGTCGGTATGTGCTCAGCGAATGGAGGGCTGACTCCTCACGGCTCCGCAGAGGAAAAGCATTTCCCCGCGCCTTTGCTGTGGAGCGTTTTAAGTCCTTTGACAGCCTGTTACAACATGAGGACACGAGAGGGAGCTCTAACGAATGAGTTCCACCTTCACGAAAGACGGCCTCTCCCGGACATGAGGGACGGCACACCTGTTAAGGGATGAGCTCAGGCTCCAGTGCCTGGTGATGCTACCCAGTCAGGACACCTGAACCAGGATCCTGGATTTAGAAAGATTTTCAGTCACCGAATCTGTTATGAAAGATCCCTGAATATATGGCTTTCTCTTCAGAAATATAGACAGAGGGGATAAATAATTAAAAACCCATTTATGCTTCATAAATAAGTCATGAGCAGTAAGAACAGGGTCATCCCAGCTTCCACAGCAATGGCCCTGCTCTGGTGACAGCAGTGGACTGAGGAGTTGACCCGGGGGCTCTGGGCTCTCCCCAAATCTTCAATACATTGACCGTCAGACTTCAAGGTCATTAGGGATCATCTAATCCTTTGCCTCCAGCCTGAGTCCATGGCCCTGAAAACTGGGAAATTGTGTGACATTTTTGTGTTGCACCTTTATGTGTGTGTGTGTGTGAGTCCATAGCTTTCATCATATTTTCAAAGGAGTCTAAACTCTCCCAGTATTAAGAACCGTCTGTCTATAACTCATTTTAAAGATGAAGAATGTGAAGCTCAGAAGTTAAGAGGTTCCTTCAAAGTTCTGTAGCCGGAATCTGGCAGAGCCAGCACACACTCGGGTCTCCCTCTGCTTCTGGCCCCGTGGGGGTGGCGCTCTGATGGGGCGGTGTCCTGTGGGGCAGTGAGGTCTGCTCTGAGGCCACTGGGCACATGGGTCCCAAGGCTTAGAGGGACAGGAGGGTGCTTTATCAGTAGAGTTGCCAGATAAAATACAGAATCCTAGTTAAATCTGAATTTCAGATAATTTTTATAAGTATGTACGAAACATTACATGGGACATACTTATACTCAATTATTCATTTATCTGAAATTCAAATTATCTGGTCATCCTGGGTTTGGGGGGGCGGGGTATTGTTTTCCATTCAATCTGGCAACATTATCTGCCAGGGACAGCCTAGGAGTCTTCAGCTGGGAAGCAAACACCAGCCAAGGACATTAATGAGTCAGTGTTTGAGACTCAGGCTACCTTTGGCCCTGACTTCGATGAAGGGCACAGAGGTCTTTGGCCTGTGTGTGACTCAGCCTGCTGATGAGACCTGCTTGGTTCTATGACTTCTCCAGGCCCGAGGAGTCCTTGAGCATGACAGATATCCTATATGCATGTGGCCTCTCAGAAGATGACATTTCACAGGTCTGTGAAGAGTAAAGATCAAATTTATTTAATACAACACCCCTCAGGGTCCCTGCAGCTTTGTCACTGAAGTGGCTGGAGGGAGCAGTCTCGGTTAGGTGTGCCCATTAGTGAAATTCCATTGCAAAATGGCCAAAGCCCCTCGTCCACTCACTAAAGACACCATCGGAAACATCTTAAGACCTCAGGAGACTATTTCTTTAGCAAGGAATAAATAAAAAAAAAAAATTAGTGAGAAAAATATGCATTCATTTTTCTATTAAAAATAATATTTGCTGGAGGCAACTATCTTCCTGACTTTCAGCCTTCAGCATGGTAGAGGAAAAGAAAGAGTATAAAAAAACAGCTCAAGAACATCTGTGCCTTGTTTAACTTCATTTTCTATTTTGTGCATTGCCCGGAATGAACCTTGTCTTCAAGTTGACATTTCAATAGGGTCGCTCCCAAGCAGCTTTGTTTTCCCATCTGTGGTGGGCAAGGTCATAAAGGGGACAGAGTGCAGCTGTCTGGTCAGTGCTGTGCACTTCCAAAGAACAAGGAATATGCAGAACCACAGGCCTTTGACGGACCAAAGACAAAGAGAAAAACTCGCCCCTAAGCCAGGCCATTTGCTAGTGTGGTTGACTGCAAAATAGAAACAAAAACAAAAAAAAAAAACAGGCTTCTGCGTATGAAGGTACTTGGAAAAGTTCTTGGTCTCTTTACAAGACAAAATATTCAAGTTTCAAAATATTCCAGTGGCCTGCTGACTCTGAACCTCCTTCTGCTGCTCTCCACTCACAAGGATGCTCCCACTCGGTGGGAGGTGGGCTGTGTGGGAGATTAGCCAGCCCCTCTGGATCTCTTTACACCCAGCGTAAATGCAGTGAGACGTCTTTAAGAACTGGTGACTTGGTCTGAGGAACGGCTACGTTCAGTGGGAGCAAGGCAGGTTCAGAAATAAGTGCACAGAGCTCTGGGAATCGAGAATCATCTGCTCTTCTTGGAATGTAGATGTCCCTCCGTGGAGCAGGGTCCGCTCTCGCAGTTCTAAGTTCCATCAAGGGAGCCTTCCGTTCTCTGGAGTGACAAGAGACGAGACAAGGCATGGTATGGTCACACCCTTCAGGACTGAAGACTAGCCTGGTGGAAGGACGTGCAGAATTGCAGACAAGCACTTCTCAAACGGACTCCACAGCAGTGCTATCATCTGCTGGTACCCTGTGGGGGCAACTCCTGCCCACACTCATTTCTCCCTCACTCCGGGCCTGCTCTGTAGGGCCTGCAGCGTCTACTTCCCACATATGTGTTGCACATCAGACTATCAGCCAACTTCCTCAAGCACCCACTGTGTGCCCGGCACTACGTCCCATGGGTGTGACACTTACCGGCAGAGGAGGATAAGTAAAGTTAGGAGAGAACTGGCTTCCTGCTCCCACTCTGCCTCTAATAGGAAATGGACTTTCTCTAATGTGCTTTTATTTCAAAAATGAAGGACTGAACTCAAATGACCAAACTTAAATGTTTTAAAATGATACGATTCTGCCTTTAAAAGAAATGGAATGCTGATAGGAACAGACATTGTATGATTCTACCTACGTGAGGTTCCCAGAATATCCAAATTTATAGAGACAGAAAGTAGAACAGTGGTTGCCAGGGCGGGGGTCAGCGGAAAGGGGGAGTTAGTGTTAACCAGAATTTGGTTTGGAATGATGAAGACGCTCGGTGGGTGGGCTGCGACTGGACTTAATGTCACTGAACTGTATACTTAAAAACGATTAAAATGGTAAATTTCGTGTTGTGTTTTGTGACATTAAAAAAAGTTTCAAAACAAAAAAGTTTCCACATGCCATCTTGTAGTGTTCTCTAACTGCTTCATACGGTATTTATGTTACCTGCCCACCTGTCAGTGACAGAGCCCACATCGGACCCTGGCACTGTTCTCTATGCTGAGGATGCAAAGCCTCTGCCCCCGTTTATATCCTGGCAATTATGGGCAAACGATGCTACCGTGAAGTAGAAAGTGAAAGAGGTCCTCATAAACCATAGAGGATATTCGAGGCAGTGCGAGGACCCTAGCTGGGCAGCCTTCAAGGTGGAAAGGATTTTGACAAACAGATGGAGCAAGGGGGCAGGAGTGGAGCATGCTGGGAAATACAGGAGTAGAGGGGCCCCGGGCGATGGTGAGCCCTGAAGAGCAAGCAGCTTCTGTCCACGACCCTGGACTCTCTATGAACACAGGCAGAACTCAAGCAGGCAGGAGAGGAGAAGCTGTGGGGGCTAGCCGGCATCTTGGGAACCCCATGGTCGTGCTGGTCGGCTCCCTGACGGTGGGGCTGAGATAGAGTCCTTGCTTCGTTCTGACCCTGTTAGGTCTGAGGAGACTCTGGGAACAAGATGCGGGTCTTTGGGCTCCAGCCAGAAGCGCAAGGCTCTGCCTCCTCCTTGGCAAGCAGGCCAAGGGAGCTGCGCTAGCCCCAGGGGGCTGGAGGCCCGCCAGCCTGGCAGCTGCCCTCGCCCCATTTCCTCTGCTCTGCCGGAGGGGTCACCTTAGTGTCCAGCCTTTCTGTGGGCCCCGGACCAAGTCCCTCCCCAGACACCTTTGCTCTGCTCTGAGGAAAGTGAGCACTTGGGGAGCTGCTACAGGACCCGCCCCACACACAGGAAGGGCTGGGCCACAGACAACTGTGCCTTGGAAATTTTAAAGTGTGGATTGAAAAGAGGCCACATACTAAACCTGACAAGCCCAGGGGAGGCCAGCATGGTGGGCCCTACAAACTCAGAGACCGAAAATAAACACATAGGACAATCTGAACATAAAAACTCCTAGCTAAAAGCAGGTCATGGCGGGTAGTCACGTCCTGGGCCTGTAGCTTCCTCGACAAAGGTCAATCTTGACCTTAAGTGAGCCTGTCGATTGTCTTTGAGCATCTAAGATAACATGCCCTGAGAATGCCAGAGTAATTTCTTTTTCTAGACCCCTCAGGGCACAACCCACCGCACCAGAGCCCAAGACCACAGAACTCATTGTTATCTTGTTCCCCCCAATATCATTTCTATGTATTATAAATGTTAATTATTAACTATCCTGTACCCATCAATGTAAAAGAAGTATGTGTCCCTCCATTTTACTTTTATCCCATCCCAGAGATTTCCCCGCTTTGCTTTCCCCCACCTCCTTCATCCACCACCAAGGATTCCCTGGAACCCTCCTTATGTCTCCTCCTTTGATTCTAATGTATAAAATAAATCACAAAACTGCCATTCCCCAAAGCATTTTCACAATCCGTTGAGATTTTGCTTCCTGGCAATTGTCGTCAGTTTGGCTCAAAAAAAACTCATTAAAATTCCCTACAGGTTTGGATGTTTCTTACGTCGACAGAAGTAAAGGTTAACACGCTCACATCCAAGGCCCGTGCTGGCCTATGCTTACATCAGAGGCCAGCAGTCAGCCACCCAAGTACGGGTGAGAAATCACCCCACTTTCTGGCCAGGGCACAGTGTGGATGCTCTCAAAGGTCATTTTTGCTTCTAATACCCTGGGATCTCCACTTCCAGCCTAGAATGTGCCCCTCAGGAGCTTTTCCAATAAACCAGTTCTGTGCTAGGTGCTCATTTAACTCTTGAAGCAACCGGCTGAGGGTGTTTTAAAACCTCTAATTTACATACGAGGAAACTGAGGCCCAGAGAGCTTACAAAATCCTCCCAAAGCGACATGGCTAATAAACGACTAATCAGGGAAAATCAAGTTTTAATGTGGGTTTCTGATTCCTAGTCAAAGCTTGGCTTTGGTTGAATTCTGTGCCTCAGGTAAGCAACTGCTGCATTCCGCTCAGGTGACCCAAGAGATGGCTGGAGAAGTGGAACTCACACTTCTGTCTCTCCATCAGCTCCCACTGCAGCTTAGCTGCCTGCTGGCTCCCAGGGGGTAAGGAGGTGAGCTGTAAATAGGAGTTGCCTTTTTTTTTTCAGTAAGAAGGCAAAGTTCTCTCCAAGAGAATTGCGCAGGTCCAGATTCACCCCTTTCATTTAAGTACGGGCTGTTCTCTTTCACGTTATCTGTCTGCCTCAGCCACAAACACAATTTATAAACAAGGCGAAAATGGCAGAGGAAAATGAAGTCAGAATGTGCCATTGAAGCAAGTCAAACAATACTAAATTAGTATTTGGCTAAGTGGCTATCTCATTGTTAAGATATTTCCTCCAATATGTTTTCAGAAGCAACAGCCATTAAACAACTGGAAACGATCGCCAGGTTTGATTCCAGGAAGGAAATCCCCTCCCATTTCCCTGCGGTGGGCAATTCAATTAATTTTCTCCTGACCCTCACCAGCTGATTATTAGGGAAACCATACCTGTTGCTTTCATAAACAAAACGCATTTGCTTAAAGATTCAAAATTCCTTCCCAACGGCTGGGAACTGCTGGGCTCCCGCCAAAAGTCTTTAGCATTTTGGAGAGCAGGACCAGAGTGGGTGGGCTCTCAGGAGCATCCTGGGAGTACACTTCTGGGCCCACGGGCCAGCGTCAGAGGAAAGGGAAAGTTCTGTCTGTCTGGGAGCTCGGAGCCTTTGTCCAGAGAGACCATTTGGACTGAAGACAAAGTAAATAAGTTGGTCCTGCAAATGCAGCAGACCTGCCTTGGGTGGACACAGCCATGTTTACCGAGGCAGAGAACATCTCTTTATCTGGGTCCCACGCTGCCCGTGGAACAACGGTCTCACTTTCCACTCTCTGGAGGACATGCTGGCCGGGGCAGTGACATCACTTTTTGGAGGGAGTCTGGAGACCTAGATTCTAGTCCTAGATCTGCTGTTAACTAGCTGGGTGACCCTGGGCAGGCTGTTCTGTCAGTTCAAGCCACAGCTTTCTCCTATAAATTGGGCTCCTTACCCTTCCAATGCAACAGTCTCTGATTTCAGAAGTCTGGGTGGGTTTAAGCTAGATGAAGACATGCATTTCATTCCTCTTTTCCTCAAATTGATTTTCTCCACAAAAAGAATGTCAACGGCTTCCTGTCCGTCAAAGGCATAATGAGTTCTCTGTTTTATAAGAATTGAGACTCAAGCAAAACAAAGGAAGCCAGAGGCCCCACTGGAAGGGCTACCAGCAATTTTGCTGGAAGTTCTTCCCAGACCCCAAAGAAGCAGTTTGTGAGGCAAATTCCTCATCTCTTAAGATGCCAGTTGCCCGGTTAGTTAACTCCTGCACTGCTGGGTGGCTCATAAACAAGTTGGGAGTAGGAAGACGGGGGGCGAGGGGTGGGAATGGGTCTTTGCAAAATTTGAACTTGGACTTCGACGTTTCTTTTAAACATTGCCACATGCCAAGTAGAAGCTTCCTAAATCCTGTTTCCCACAGAATGGAACTTCCTAATGAGAGGTTCAGTCCTTTTCAATGCAAGCCCTATTTTACCTTTCCCCTGTCTTCTCCCCCCATTCTGAGCTACTTGAGATCGCTTCACCCCCCATGCTTTTGCTCCTGCTGCTCTTTCCACCTGGACCCTGCTGTAATCCGACTCATTCTTTATGGCCCAACTAAATGACGCCTCCCTTTGGTGACGGGACTGTCAATCACGCAGAACAAAGCACCACTTCTGTTTCCATAGTCCTTAGTGGAGCTGTTACTTTCTCGTCAGTGGTAGCTCATCTGAGTTCCTCATTGGGTCAAGGACCTGCAGTGTCTCCTGCGGCAGAGGAGCCTGGTGTATAGCGGTGACTGGCATAAGCTCTAAGAGCTGAAATGAGCTGTCAGATGCCCCACTCCTCCGAGTGTACCCCCGTGCCCCCAATCTGCTTTACTTCTCAAGCCTGAATCCTGGACTAGGAGGAAATGTGTATTTTGCTTGTTTGGAGCTACAGACCCTAGATTCCCAATTCTCTGGGGGAACTTCCAGGGTCTCCCTTCATATATGGGCTGAGATGTAATGATGGAAACAATGGGAGAGAATATCTCAAATCACAACTGGCCCCCAAAACCTGCCGAGTCTGATGATTAAACTTCTGCCGGCCCAGGCTAGTCCGAGGGGTCCAGGGCTCCTGGTCTAAAACACAAGGCCA